GATCTATCCACGTGCGTGATCCACCCACGAGCGTGATCCACCCACGAGCGTGATCCACCCACGTGCGTGATCCACCCACGAGCGTGATCTATCCACGTGCGTGATCTACCCACGAGCGTGATCCACCCACATGCGTGATCAACCCACGAGCGTGATCTATCCACGTGCGTGATCCACCCACGAGCGTGATCCACCCACGAGCGTGATCCACCCACGAGCGTGATCTACCTACGTGCGTGATCTACTCACGAGCGTGATCCACTCACGAGCGTGATCCTCCCACGAGCATGATCCACCCACGAGCGTGATTCACCCACGTGCGTGATCTACCCATGAGCGTGATCCACCCACGAGCGTGATCTATCCACGAGCGTGATCTATCCACGAGCGTGATCCACCCACGAGCGTGATCCACCCACGTGCGTGATCAATCCACGAGCGTGATCTACCCACGTGCGTGATCTATCCACGAGCGTGATCCACCCAGGAGCGTGATTCACCCACGAACGTGATCCACCCTCGAGCGTGAGCTACCAACGAGCGTAATCTACCCACGAGCGTAATCCACCCACGAGCATGATCTACCCAAGAGTGTGATCCACCCACGAGCATGATCTACCCAAGAGTGTGATCCACCCACGAGCATGATCTACCCAAGAGCGTGATCCACCCACGAGCATGATCTACCCAAGAGCGTGATCCACCCACGAGCATGATCTACCCAAGAGTGTGATCCACCCACGAGCGTGATCTACCCACGAGCGTGATCCACCCACGTGCGTGATCTACCCAAGAGCGTGATCCACCCACGAGCGTGATTCACCCACGAGCGTGATCCACCCACGTGCGTGATCTACCCACGAGCGTGATCCACCCACGAGCGTGATCTATCCACGAGCGTGATCCACGCACGAGCGTGATCTATTCCGACACGAATGGAATCAATTCCACCACTTAACGCAATCTTTCCAGAATCTATTCCACACGAATGGTATCTATCTATCCCGACACGAATCGTGTATATCCCGACGCTCATCGTATCTATTCCGAGACAAGTAAAATCCATTCCTAAGAATTCCGGGTCTAAAATCACAAACCTCGGTGATGTGCACGGCTGGTCCCGAATTTTGAAAGTCAGCTGCGACAACACATGACGAGGGGCGGTCACGTTGAGTTTCCGCCATTGTTAAATTGACTACGTCACGAATTTTCTATGGTGTTTGTAAAATGTTAGTAGGTCTCAGGGGAGAGATAGTGAATACAGAAATAAGTTGCGGATATAAAAATCAGTTAACCCTAACCCTAACCCTAATCCTAACCCTAACCCTAACCCTAAATCTATCCCTAATTCTAAAATAAAAAAAAATTAGCCAAAAAATAAAAATAAATAAATAAATAAGAGACAAAATTAGCCAATCAGAGCCGTCCCCAAGCGGATCACTATCTTTCCACTGTGCAAAATTCGTAAAATGTTTGTTGCGATTTTTTTTTACATGAAAAGTAAGTACTAACGGCGCTGAATGTATTATCAAATTCTTACCTGATAAGATTGTTTTTCAACTAGTTTGATATATTGATCACGACATTAATGTCATGATAACATGGTGTTTGTTCACATTGAACGGAATAGCAAAATAGGAAGTATAATGCAGCAATTTAACCATAAAAAGTGAACAGAATCACTTACATTTTGTGAAAAAGTGGACATGATTTTTTTTACTTTTACTATTTACGGTGACGTAATCACTTTAACCTCACGATAAAGCTATTAGGGGATGTTCATTTCCTCTGTCAGGTTATTAAAAATCTATATATTTACTATTAATAGCACGCAGCGTATTATGTATAATAGCACTTACACCGAGCCCTGCCAATGGAAAACATTGCAGAACGTAGCACAAGAAATGACTAGGTCATGATGAGTTATGATACAGATCATAATTATATTTGCTTTCTTTGACAGAATGCAAAAATATCTGACGAGTGAATAAAGAAACGTGAGTCTAAGGTTAGAGTTAAGGTTAGGGTTAGGGGTAGGTGAGCGTTCACGTCGGCTAACCTAATGGTGAATGTGTTTACCACCAGATGAAAAGGAGACGTAAGTACGCTGTGATCAAAATTAAGAACCGACTCGAATGTACGAATACGTCTAACGGTTCCTCGTTGCTACGGTTATTTCTGTGCATAGTGCATGCTCTCTTCTTATTGTATCGCCACTGGGGCCGGATAGAAAAACTAATATCCATTTCGTATACGCGCAATAATAATTATGTTGCCGTGTTTATGCGTTCGTTCCCGTTTTAGACTTCGAACCTGTGGCCGTTGTCATGATAGCTATGACGTCAGTAGTCCAGAATGCCTATGGCTTTTACGCGTGAAGTCTTGTAAACCGTATGCTACCGTTTAGACTAATGATAGTTATGAATATTTTTGATGTTTCTGACAACATATACTTTCAAATATCAGTTTATATGATCTCGGTTATTATATGTATCACATTTTACTGCACCTTTAGTTTTGGTTGTCTAGTAGGTGGCACATGTTAAGAGCTAAGATGCGTGAAGCAATGACCAGAGACGCACAAACATGATTTGGCTAATTCACAGATCGATAACTCGTTTCTAATTAGCAGCGGAAGTCATGGTATTCTAGATATGCGTCCTATGCACATGTAGGATAAACAGCTATTCAATCTACAGATGGATGGATCAGGCGCTGTATGTACACCTCCCGCGACCTCATTACATTACATCTGCCAGGCAAATACTTACAAATAGAGACTTGCCTCTTCGCGTTCTTACTCTCGCTTGCTCCCCCTTTCTGCCTCTGTCTCGATATCCGCCTCTCTCGCTCTCTCATTTTTCTCACGCTCCCTGTCCCTTCATCTCTTTCCCACTTCTGATCTCTATCGTTCACACACACACACACACACACACACACACACACACACACACACACACACACACACACACACACACACTGTGTGTGTGGTTGTGTGTGTATGTGTGTGTGTGTGTGTGTGTGTGTGTGTGTGTGTGTGTGTGTGTGTGGTGCGTGTGTGCGTGCGTGCGCGTGCGCGTGTGTGTGTGAATGATTACGTGCGTGCGCGTGTGTGCATGTATGTTCATCCGTTCATGTGCCCGTGTATGTTTGACTGCGTACGTGCGTGTGTATGTGTGTGTGTGCGTGGGTCCGCGCGTGTGTTTATACGCGCACTTGCGTGTGTGCATGGGTGCCTGTACGTCCGTTCGCCCGTGCATATAATGTGTTTGTACGCGCGTGCGTACGTGTGCATACCGAATTTTTATTCCGAGTTTTCCAAATAGGTAGCCATCATGATCTGAGAGGGCGCCACCTACAATGTCCGCGGCAGTAGCGCTACCAGCGCCACCACCACCCGACGCAGCAGCAGCAGCGTCAGCACCTTGTGTTGACGTGCTAAGCCGCCCTGCTAGCTGGCACATCGTGGCCAGCTTTGCCGCCCTCGTTCTCATCGCTGCCGTCATCGTCTGCGGAAACGCGCTCGTCGTGACGGCCGTCGTTGTCACCAAGAAACTCCGCACGACAACAAACCTCTTTATCTGCTCGCTGGCCGTCGCCGACCTGCTGGTAGGCATCGCCGTACTGCCGTACTCTCTCACGCTGGAGGTGCTAGACGAGTGGCTGTTCGACGAGGTGTGGTGTAGCCTCTGGCTGGCAATCGACGTGCTGCTGTGTACAGCCTCCATTCTGCACCTGTGTGCGATCAGTCTCGATAGATACATCGCTATCGCCTACCCGATGCACTACCCTCGCCTCATGGTTCCCGCGCGAGGCAAAGCTCTGATCGTCGTCGTCTGGGTGGTCGCCTTCCTCGTCTGCATCCCGCCGCTGCTCGGCTGGAACGAGGTAGGCGCGCCGCTCAGGCGAGCGCTCGAGGACGGGGCAGCGGGTAACGCGTCCGCGTCCGACGCAGCGGGGAACGTCAGCGTCGGAGTAGCGTCGGCGCTGGATGAGGCGTGTCGGCGGGCGACGCAGTGCACGCTTATCTCAGACCGCGGCTATCGCGTCTACTCGGCGCTGGGTTCCTTCTTCATTCCGATGTTTGTCATGGCGTTCTTCTACTGGCGCATCTACGTCCTCGCGACGCGCAGCAGCCGCGCGATGAAACGAGGCTTCAAGGAGGTGACCGGTCGCGCCGGCGGCGGGCTGCGCATCCACCGTGGCGGCGGCACCGTCCGTCTCGCGGCGGCGGCGCAGGCGGCCATGCTCACATCTCGCAGCATCTCGCGAGAGGACTCGCTTGTGACGGAGCCGCCGAGCCCCGTGCTGCAGTGCGGCCGGAAATCCGGAATACTGCAGTTTCGCAGCAGCGACCCCGCTGATAAACGCGCCGCCCGGCGGCAGCTATCGGAACAGCTACAAAGGTCGAAAAGCGACGTCGATTCGGTTCCCTCGTCTGGGAGTATCAACTCGCTGGAAAACGGAACCGGTTGCTCGCGGCAACCGCAAAACGGCGGCGGCTTCGGCGAAGAGGCGATAGACGGCGACACTAGCGGCACGCACAGACTTCACATGATCTTAAAATTGCGACGCGACTTTAAGAAGTTCACGCGAGAGATGAAGGCTGCTAAGACGCTGGGAATCATCGTCGGAGCCTTCATCGTCTGCTGGCTACCTTTCTTCACAATCTACTTCGTCGAGGCGTTCTGTAGCGATTGCATCCCATCTCTCGTTTTCTCCGTGTGTTTCTGGCTCGGCTACTGCAACTCCGGCATCAACCCTTTCGTCTACGCCATGTTCAGTCGCGATTACCGATCCACATTCAACCGCATTCTGCGCTGTCGCTTGGGTCGTGACCTCAGAACCACTGTGACGTTGACATCGTGCCAGCGACTGTCGCGGATGGAAAGCGATAAGGCGGCGGACCTTTACGATAGCTCGCTGACGTGGCAGTCCCGCCCAGCTGAAGCTAGTTGTGCTAAGCCTAATAATTACTAATTACTTGATATTAATATAATATATTAATTATATATAATATTAATATTATAATAATTAGCGATTATCAATGAAGAGAAATGGTTTTTTAGTTCTTAGCTGCCGCAACATAAGCTAGTTGTCTCTGTGTGCGCGGAGGAATGGCGATGGTTAAGTCAGTATTATATACATATAGAAGGTTGTTAGCGTGTAAAATTGGCTTCTTAAGATTGTTTCTTTGGCTTCCTTCTGCGGCCTAATAGTTTGATATCATTACTGTAATTAGTTGCTGAAAGTAACGCAATAGTTTTAATTGGCGGTTGGCGGTACGTCTATTCCATTAATGGATGATAATGTGCCACCACACACACACACACATCGCACGCTGGAACATTTCTATGAAATAACCAATAGGCTGGATCACGCGTGAGCTCACAGCGTGTGAGTCTGTGTCCAACAACGTCAACGACTTAACTCTTGTACGCGTGCCCAGACAATGGCAGACGCTCCATGCTATGTTTTAAGACGTATAGCAAGTGATTGAATACGCCTACCTCAAAACCATGCCATCAAATTTCAATAAATCTTGCAGTTTATTTCAAGCTGATTGCTTAAAAAAATGAATATTATGTGAAATGTTACACACGGCGTTAGTAATACATGTTATTTTTCTTAAAAGTTACAATATAGTCAGGTTGTACCTAGTCGTCTTTAACTACTCTATGAAACAATAGATGGCGCTACTCACCGACACACATTAAGCGCGTTCACACGGACGTTTTTAGCCCGAGCCTAATTGGGCCCGCGCCAAATTTGGCTCGAGCCGAGCATTCACACGGACGGTTTTTCGGGCCGTGCCATTTTGGCACGAGCCAATTTGGTCCCATCAAAAACGTCGGACCAGGCCCGAGCCAAATTTTAGCACCAGCTAAATCGGAACGTGTACTTCGACGAAATAAAGTCCAAAACAGTATAAAAATTCGAAAAATTTGATCAGGATGCACGTTTTTAAGATTGATAATTGAACTCGGAACGGAAGTAAACACTCTAAATCGAACACAACGCCATCTCGCGACATACTGTCAAAGTATCTGTGAGATATTTGTGCAATAAAATTTATTTGAATTTGAATTTGAATTTGACAGACAGTATTCACTTGCGAATGCATGTGAACGCTCCGACTCAAACCGGCCCGAGCCAAATTTAGCCCGAGCCAAATTTAGCCCATTTGGCTCGAGCCAAACCATGACCGTGTGAACGCGGTAATATATGGGTAATAGTGGGGCAGATATGTCAAAAAAATGTTCACATCTGGCAGAAAGGGTGAAATTTTGTATACAGGGGTATTTTGGGGCGCTGATTTCAAAAATTGCCGGATCCAAGAAATCTGATCAATGGATCGGCCGCCATCTTGAATTCCAATATGGCCACCATGACGAAACATTGAACATTACTATCTTGGGTTCTAAATGACATGTGGCGCTTGTATTTGGTACACAAAAGCAATTTGACATGCTGAGTTCAATAATGGATTGATTTGACATGTCTGACAAACCATATGGCAGCCATTCGCGCTACTAAGTTGATTCTGTATGTGGTGAACAACAGTAGAGGGCGTCCATAGGCAGCAGTCCTGAATAAGCACCAAACAGAAATTAATTAAAAATACTCACACTGTTACTTCGCTTACACAACATACACCTTATTCATGTTAAATAACTACAGACTCATGCTCTATGCTCCGCTCAAAACTTTTGCCAGCTCTATGATGCGAATTTCTGCAAAGTTGTCTGAACACATTTTCAAACACAAAAATGACCAACCGGTCGCTGTGGCTACGCCACCTGACGGAATGTCACGAATACACAACAATCCCAAATTTATCTTCTAATGCTTTCTAGACGTCCACGAGGCATCTAACTTGCGTGCATAATGCAAATTATTGCACTCTAGTGCCAAATTTCGGCGAAAAAAATTCCAAAAAAGGCTTTTTCTCAAGACGAAATAGTGCAATAGTACTGTTGTATGCTTCCTGTATGCGAGAGACCTGTCATTATGTCTTGCGTAGAATCGCAGCTTGCGTGTGCTGCGTGTCTCTAATACATGCGCGATCGAGATATCGGACATCTCTCCAGCGCCGCATCGCGCCGATAGTCGATGGCACCTAGCACGTTCTCGCTCAATGACCGTATACGCAGCGGTTAATAACGATGTAAGTGCTCGATGCCAGCTGCTAGACACCTCACTACACACATGACTTTAGAGTCTGTGTGAAGCCGTAAATGCACAGGAAGAGCGCGGAGGATGAGATGGAGTTGGAGATCGAACAAGAGAGATAGATAGATAGACTCTCTCGGGCGTGCGCGCTCTCTCTCTCTCTACTCTATCTCTCTGCTCGTGCGCGTGCCGCCTCTACTTTTATCTCACCATCTCTCATCCCTATACTCTTCATCTCTCGCTCTCTCTCTCTCTATCTCTCGGCTCTCTCTCTCTTTTCTTTCTTACTTCTCTCTCTCTCTCACTCTCACTCTCTCTCTACTCTCGTGTTCGTCTCTCTTTTGGTCTCCTCTTTTCTCTCGGCTCCTCTCTCTCTCTCTCCTCTCTGCTCTCTTCTCTTTCTCTCTTCTCTCTCTCTCTCTCCCTCTCTCTCTCCCTATTTCTCCTCTGTTGCTTTCTTCTCTCTCTACTCCTTACTTCGCTGTGTCTTCTCTCTTTCCATACTCGTTCTTCTCACTTTTTCTTTCTCGCTTTTCTCTACTCTTTGAGCTCATCTCCTTTCTCTCTCTCTCTCTCTTGCATCTCTCTCTCTCTCTCTCTCTGCTCCTTACCTCTCTTTTCTCTCTCTCTCTCTCCTCTCTACTCTCTCTTTCTTCTCTATCTCCTCTTCTGTCTCGCCTTACCTCTCTCTCTCTTTTCTCTCCTCTCTCTCTCTCTCTCTCTCTACTCGTCTCTCTTTCTTCTTCTTCTCTCTCTTACATCTCTCTCTCTCTCCTCTTTCTCTCTTCCGTTTCTCTTCTCTTTCTCTCTCTCTCTCTCATCGTCTCTCCTGTCTCCGTCTCTCTTTTCTTCTCTCTCTCTCTCTCTTCTCTCTCTCTCTCTGCCCTTTTCTCTCTTGCCTCTCTCAATCTCTCTCCCTTACTGCTTTCTCTCTTCTTTCTTCTCTTTCTCTCTTTCTCTCCTGCTCGGGGCGTCTCTATCCTTAGCTCTTCTCTCTCATCTCTACTCTCTCTTCCTCTCTCTCTTTCTCTCTCTTCTTTCTCTGCTCTTTCTCTTCTCTCTCTTTCTCCCTTCCTCGTTTCTATCTTTCTCTCACTCTCTTTTCTTATCGTCATCTCATCTCTTTCTCTCTCTTCTTCTGCTTGTCTCTATCTCTTCTTTCTCTCTCTCTCTTACTCGCGTGCTCTCTCTTTCTCTTTCTCATCTCTTTTACGTCTACTCTCTCTCCCCTCGCATCTCTTTTATACCCTTACTCGGGCTCTCCATCTTCTCTTTCTCTTATCTCTCCTTCTCAATCTATATCTCTTCTCTCTCTTCTCTTCTCCTTCTTCTCTCTCTCTCTCTTCTCTCTCTCTCTCTATCTCTATCTCTATGCTCTATCTCTATATCTCTCTTCCCGCTCTCTATCTCATGTATCTCTCTTGTCGATCACTCCGAACTCCAGTTCTGATCCTCCGCGCTTCCTGTGGCGTTGTACGGCTTCACACAGACGGTCGATAAGTCATGTGTGTAAGTGAGTGTTTCTACGCAAGCTGCAATCGATGCACGTACATCGTTTCTTAAGGGCCGCTTGCGTCAATAACGGTGTTCAAATCATTGAGGGAGGACAGTGTATGCGTGCCATCGAAATATCCTCGCGGCACGAATGTGCGGCTTGCACGCTGAGAGCGTATTGTCGACTAATCTCGAGAAATCAGCGTCATGTACTTAAGAGACACGCAGCAACGACGCAAAGCCTGGGCGATGCTACGCAAGACATTTTAGATTGACGATGTCTTCTGCGCCTACAGGAGAAGCATTAACAAAGGAACTGAGTACATATTGCACTATTTCGTCGTTAGGAGAAAAAGCCTTTTTTGTGGAATTTTTTTCGCTTCACCGAATTACTTTGACCAGGCTAGAGCATGGCTCATAAGGTTTGCGATTATGCACGCAAGTTGCATGCCTCATGGAACGATCTAGGAAAGCTAAGCATTTAGAAGTTAAAATTGGTCTTTGTTGTGTGATATCTTGTGGACATTCCGTCAGCGTGGATTCGTGCACAGCGAAGGTTGAGTGTCATTGTATGCGGAACACGGTGTTTTGAAATGTGTTCAGGACACTTTTGCAGAATGTCGCTCATAGAACGCTTGGCAAAAAGTTATTGAGCGGGATCGGCATTAGGAGAATGAGTCGTGTTAGTCAGTATTTTTATATTAATTTATTCGAATTTAAGGGTGTAAATATTGTGTAAGCGAGTAGTGACAGAAGAAGCTGGGAGCCCTAGTGCCAGTATTTTAATTAAAGTATCTACTGTTTTTCTGGTGTCTTATTCAGGACTGCTGACCTATGGAGCCCCTGTAACTTGTTGTTCACCACATTACAGAAGTATCAAACTCATAGTTTAGCGCGAATAGCAGCTCTGCATATGGTTCTGTCAGAATCGTCAAAATCAATACATTATTAACTCAAGATGTCGAAATATGCGCTTTGTGTACAATATACGAAGCGCAATAGTATTCACGAACCAAGATAGGTCAATGTCTCACATTGCTTTCATTCGTCGGGGTGCATGAGTGCGGCCCCAATATTGGGAATTCACAGTAGGGCCCCATGCCGTTGGGTAGCCCGATCTATGATTCCGCACACTACGGCAGTTTGAGATAGCGATAGCTGATGTATTGGAGTACTATAGGCACTTTATTTAATTTAAATTTTTTTTTTTGTACTGGGTTAGGGTCTAGGGTTTTTAGGTGCTGAGGTTAGCGTTAGTTTTTTTTTTGGTTTAAGTAGCTTTGTAGATGATATCCCAAGTGCCTAGGTATCAT